TATATATATATATATATNTATATATATATATATATATATATATATATATATATATATATATATATATATATATATATATATATATATATTTATATATATGTGGAACTTTTCTGATCACTTGCAGAAGATTAACGACGATACCAAGAATTGCGAGATGAGACTGCGCCAGTGTGAAGTTACCAACATACTGTCTGGTCTTGATACCGCTACTCCACAAGGGTATGTCTCTACATATCGCTACTCCACAGGGATATGTCTCTACGTAGTGTGCTACAAGTGTTGCTCAATCAGAGCAATTGCGGAGGTATAAATAGTCTATGTCGTATGCAAGCGTAAGAATGTGGTCAGACCTGCAAGACGGGCGAAGCAAATTAATACAATAAAACCGAAGATGTGTGTACAGTGGGAATAAGCAGCTGCCTACGCACCACAATAAACCGCCAATGAGAACGCGCTTACGCATATCTCTATCGATGAGAGCAACTGGAGTACCATGGCATGGTCAGAAGTATGGGTGCCGCCGACTGAGAAACAATTCTATACAATCACATCACAGGCAGCTCAAGATGGAGGGCACGCTGATGATCTCAGAAAAGAATGGCAAGGAGAAGGAGGTGTACTGCTTCATGTGGGACGGGGAAATCATCCTGACCAAGCGTGAAAAAATTGCAGATATTGTGTCTCAGCCGCCAGTCGAGTATGTTTTAAGCCCGCTTGCCGTTGATAACGTGTACTTTGCCTTCTGCCACATATCGATGTTAAACACATACGGGTGTGGGACGTTCACCGCAAATCAGTCCTTGTTTATATTCCATTGCAAATACCACCATAGCTCTCTCCAAACACACGAGTTCAGTACTGCATCGCTGAGAATACTAAGTGCAGCCTACGCGTATAGCACGCATGCATCTCCGTGAATTTGGGTCTGGTGTTCGATGTCTGAATCTACCACAAAGCACCCTGACTCCAAGTCGGATGTCCATATATCTGCGAGTGTGATATCAGGATATTCGTTGCTCCCACATTGGTCTAATGAATAAATTGCTGTCGCATTCGTTGTTTATGACTGCTTCTCCACCTGCACATATCTTGTTGGCTGCTTCTGTATCTGCACATATCTTGTACGAGGTACAATTTACAACTGCCCACATTGATCGTTTCGAGGCATCCGCATGCGCATGCAACCACGAACACATTCAACAGCTCACCCAAGACGAGACGCCGAACAATGCGCCAATCGTTTAAGGTTGGTGGGGCGAATCGCTCGGACCTCGTGAAGGCCACCACCGCCGCGCGAACGGCTTCTTCGCCGGAGCACTACTACCGATGTAAGTGAGGAGTTTCGGGATACTGGAGTTTGGGGGATACCCTAGCTATGACGGATGCAACTGTAGCAAGTATTAGTATATATGCAACTGTAGTAAGTATTAGTATATATGCAACTGTAGCAAGTATTGGTATATATGCAACTGTAGCAAGTATTAGTATATATGCAACGGTAGCAAGTATTAGTATATATGCAGCCCTGTACTGCACGCAATTTATCGGTGGGGAGTATCGGTCGGAATACTGTATGTGTATAGTATTGTATTGAATACACTGACTGCTTTGCGATAGTTTGTGTGATCTACGAATACCCGGTTGTCAAACAACTGCCCTGAACCGCAGTTCTGGCTTTCATCTTCGTCTTCTGTAGTGGCTTCTTCAAAGATCGATTTGCGCATCGACGCCTCCAAAGTATATACCGAGCAGGGTATCATTTTCGACTTCGGCAAGGGCTCCAGGTGTGTGTCTCTGTGTTTGTGGGGTACCTTATATGGCACATATGCAATTTTCTTTGTGCCAAATAGATGTTTGACTGTAAATATGGGTATAGGTGCAGTGCTTCACAATGAGTTTGCCACAAAACACAGCAACATACTGCCTGAGCACGTCAACACTCCACCAACCTTCGGCCCAAAACGTTTAGCCTCTGCAATGCACTATTCTGTTCTATCCAGGCGCCATCTCTTCGCCTGTAGTCGCCCCACATCTGACTTGTATGTAACTTCGCTGAACAGGTGTATACGGGTGCTGATACCGTTTCCCGGCTCAGATCATATCCACATGAACGCTAAGTGGTGCACTTACTTTGAATCAGCCGTCAAACGCTCCAAGTGGCGCCAGACACAGGACGCCTCTACTATCGACGTGCATGCTCCTTCCTTACCCCAGGCGAGCTACGGTATCTAGAGCGCTACCGATAAATCCCACATTATGCATACATCACACTTAGTTATAGGCATGTGCATGATCAAATAAAGGCGTATTATTACTCACACGTACATTGTTATATATTGGTGATATTGGTATGCTAATCATCCGTTTCCAAACGATTGTCAGTATTTTATCAATTTGGCTGCAAGGATATGCCGCGATATTTCTCATCATGTTGTTTGGAACGTATGTTCGTTCATACAAACTCAAGGGGTCAGCATCCATTGTACAGTGCAGATATGGAGTATACAATCGCTAAGTACCTGTGTACGATCGTACAGCTGATGGGCACGACCGTACATCTTTTCTATACACTCATTACAAGACGCGTTCATTACACAAGCACGATGTGAGCTATACGAGCACACATGCTGCCCTTATCGCTAATATTTGATATAACAATGTTCCTCCCAAACGATGAAACCGTATTCAGTGGCATTCTCGTCATTTCGAGGGACTGACTCACGAGGATTCAAAAACTGTCTAGATATGTTTATCATATCTATAACCATATGAAATACAACACGTGGCAGGGGTGTTGTGGCCGAGCTGAGTCAAGCCGAGTAGATGCATGGCATTCGTCTCAATCCAGTCTTTGCACTAGTAATCGAGGTGAAACTTCGAACCTTAAAAACAGAATCTGTACACCATGTCACCACAGTACATCATACTTGGGGGTTTAATTTTTTTAAAGTTTTCATTCTTTTGTATTGAGAAATAGTCTGTATTCACCAAATAGAGGCAGAAGAGGAAGCTTGCATGGCCTTCCATTGACATGTCGATTGATGAACTGAAAATTAACGTTTCGGAGATGATTTTTATGGTTACTCACACTTTATCAACTCCTTGGCAGAGCGCTAGGAATCTGTTTCATACTCGACAATCATTATAGTATTCGGGCATTTGTCGATTTTATTTATTTTGACAAGACGTTCAGTCCGATAGAATTTAGGTGTGATAGATGTGGTGATTTTTTTAGCTGCAATATTTTGTGTACAAGCAGTCCTTGGAGCACTAGAATAAGTAACTTCAGCATCGATAGCGACAAGTCAAGTGATCTTACCGCGACATGGAGAGAAAGTTAGGCATATGTCATACAAACTTCTGCTGATATTTTACCCGAACAAACGAGTACGAATCCACGGAAAGGAGTGTCCAAGTACGCAGATGACGATGAAAATCTACTTGAACTCATTTCAACTGGCACTTATCGCTCACGGTGGGCTGTAACTGCCGCAGTATAGAAAACACATTGCCCCCCTACAACTGTCCTCCAAGCAAGGCTTTGCTTGTCTGTTTTTTTTATGGCATATTTATTGTTTATGCCTTGCTTTTGTACACGGCCGCCGATCCCTTCCGCCCACTCCTCTCTACCACTTAATCCTTCGGCATGATCAGAGGGAACGCGAGATCTAGAGTAAAAAATGCCTTATTCAATCCATGTATAGTTTTCGTGGTCTTAACCATACTTCCTTATGACGCACACTCCAAATTTATATTTAGTCCTGGCTCGGCTCACTTGATCTCTTGACTGGAGACTCTGGGGCGTACGGGCGGTACGAACTGGTTACTATCCGGTGGCGGCAACTTGGTGCCGCCCCTTCCCGGGGTTCTCTTTTGGCTGGCAATACTCCTATCCGATGTCTGGTTTTCGAGCTCGCTACTCTGTATTCTACTGCTGGTAGAGGAAGCGCCGCTGGCCGTTGAAGCCACATGCCGTAGCTTGACGTCACCGTCACGCACCTTCTCTGCAGGGAACGAGATGGCCGATGAAGTAGCCATGCGAAGCCTCGCCCCATCTCCGCCGTCCCCGCGACCACGCGACCTCGCCTGTGGTACAGGGCCTGATGCGGGGGATCTGCTCAGTTGGCCCTGAGGGCCTGATGTGGGGGATCTGTTCAGTTGGCCTGGAGGACCCGCGGTGAGTCGACCCGTGTTCGCCTTCCGTATCTGCTGTCCGGGTACTAAACCCGTCTGAATAATGCCACCCGACACTCGCGGCATGGGGTGCACGCCCTTGTTGTCGATGACCACACCCTTCGGGTCGATGATCAGACCAGCATTAGCGCTTCCCCCGGAGCTGCCAGGCAAGTTGGAGCTCTTCTGTATGATCAAGGCGTTGCGCGGTACCGTCTGCGATTGCACGTCCCCGCGGGGTTTAGCTCTGGAAGGTTTGGGCGCAAGTCCGTTGGCTCCGGGTCTCGGGTGTGTATCGGGCACAGTAGTATAGCGGGGCTGCAAGTTTTTGGCGGCCGGGGTATACGAATTGATGGACGAATTCTGGTCCAGGGTTGCCACCGGTGTCAGTTTGGATTCTGGTTGGCGAGTGTCTGTGTTTATACATAGAAATTTCGGTGGTGTATTAGTATTAGAAATTGGTCAGGAACAGAATTTTGGAATAGGTAATAAGCGGCAGGTTGTGGATCCCAAGCACCCCGCGGGGTAGAGTGCGCGCAACGACATAAATATAACGTCTGTGACATTGTGTGAACTTTTGACGACCTGATATCCTCTTAAAACATAAAATAAATATAACGCCAATGACATCATAGCTATGGCATACATGTTCCAATAACTGCTACTGATTACTACGACATATATGTACTATTCATGATTATGACAATAGATAACTATGGCATACATTCCAATAATTACTACTGGATACTACGACATACATACACTATTAATGATTATGACAATGGATAACTATGGCATACATGTTTTAATAACTGCTACTGATTACTACAAAACATATACTATTGACGACTATGACAATAGATAACTTTGGCATACATTCCAATAATTATTACTGGATATTACGACATACATATACTATCAATGACTATGACAATGGATAACTATGTCATACATGTTCCAATAACTATTACTGATTACTACGACATACATATCCTATTAAAGACTATGACAATGGATAACTATGTCATACCTGTCCTATTAATTACCATGTGAAAAATATGCCATACATTTGCTATTGAATACTATGACAGTTGATAACCATGCCATACATGTCCTATTAATTGCTATGACAATTGATGACTATGCCATACATTTGCTATTAAATACTATGACAGTTGATAACCATGCCATACATTTCCTATAAATTGCTGTGACAATTAATGACTATGCCATACATTTGCTATTAAATACTATGACAGTTGATAACCATGCCATACATTGTCCTATTAATTGCTATGACAATTGATGATTAAGCCATACATTTGCTATTAAAGACTATGACAGTTTATAACATGCCATATATGTCCTATTAACTGCTATGACAATAGATGACTATGCCATACATTTGCTATTAAATACTATGACAGTTGATAGCCATGCCATATGTGTCCTATAAATTGCTATGACAATTGATGACTACGCCATACATTTTCTATTTAATACTATGACAGTTGATAACCATGCCATACATTGTCCTATTAATTGCTATGACAATTGATGACAATGCCATACATTTTGTTATTAAATACTATGACAGTTGATAACCATGCCATACATGTCCTATTAATTGCTATGGCAATTGATGACTATGCCATACATTTCATATTAAATACTATGACAGTTGATAACCATGCCATACATGTCCTATCAATTGTTATGGCAATTGAAAACATGCCTCAAATTTCCTATTACATACTATGACAGTTGATAACTATGCTATACATGTCCTATTAATTGCTATTGCAATTGATGACTATGACATAAATGTCCTATTGACTATTAACTACTATGACAATTGTAACTATAAACACGTGGGCTATTGATTGCTATGGCATACTGTTATTATTAAATATTTTGAATTTGAACCACAATGAGATAAACATGACTAGAAAGTACACTTATACTTGATGCTATGACAACAAGGTAGGCTATTGACTACTATGTGAAACGTTTACTATTGATTACAATGATACAATATATACAACTTTTTCATAGGAAAAACGTATTTATAATCGCTACAACGTTATTCGCTTACTAAGACTTACGTTTGCTGGACGGACCCTGATCCACCTCATCCTCGTCATCATCTTCATCCTCGCCTGAGGTGTTGACAACATCTGCAAGGTCTAGCGCCTTGGTCTCGGTACGTTTATCCTTACCTAACTGCTTTTGAGCCTTTTTCTTCTTAGCTTCCGCCTTTTTTTTTGCCCGCTTAGCCGTCTTGGCTCGCTTTTCTCTTCGATCTGTTCTTGTGAGAGGTGATAAAGAACGACATGAGCAAGCTTGAATCGTGCAATACCACAGATATAAGACTAGTCGATTTTCTGACCGGCCCAATGGTACAAACGAGCTCAAAATCCGAAAACTATTCGCACGATTCTACCCTGTGGTACAAAAAGACTCAATCGGAACCTCATTTGACATGAAAACGGAAGCGCAGCAATTCTGAGCATTTCTGCTCTCTCCTGACACTCGACATGATCAGATAGCATTAGCAAGGAACACTTGAACGTACAACAATGCTCAATAACTCACTACGACACACAACACGCACCGTTGATTCTCTTTATGTCGATCTCAACTTCTTTCTCAATCGCCCTGTAGTGGGCCCTGATAACAAACCGTCTCTCCTTCTGAGACGCCATAAGTCTGTGAGTGGGTTATGCATTAAAGGCAATGAGTGTAAACAGTCCACTAGACAATCTGATAACCGACTTCGCTGGCAGACCATACAAAGAGAAGTCGTATGCAGAGCACTATACAACGTCCCTGAGGGTTACGATGAACTACTATGGCAGTATTCATGACTAATCCTATTCAATTTTATGCGAGACGATATCTCTACTCCCCCAATTGACGTATATGAGCAAAGCGACAGTTCTAGTTGAACACCTCACGATAATTAGATCGGCCTGTGTATACGAAAAGGGCATGGAATATAGGAGAAGGAGAGAAACTCATTCCCGGGTCTGCTGCTAACTATATCGTTGGAGACATGATATGGAACGCATGTTTCATATAATCAATCGCAGCACACAAGCGAATGCTGGTGAAGTACCTCTGAGAAGATTGTTAGCAAAGGTAGATTTCCATGGACATGTATAACAATACACGCGCAACTTACAGCTCCTTGTAGTGGTCGTGTGTGCGTACGCCAAAGTCCTTTGCCTGCAAGTTTTGTAGCTCAATAATAGAGATCCTATCTTCCAACTCCAGCGCTGCGGCCTTTCGATCGCTATAATGTTCCTTCTCCTCCATTAACTGTTTTAACAGATTAGCCTCTCTCTTGTGCTGCACAGTGACGAGGCAGAAGAGGCAAATCAAATTGAGTTGCTGTCCAGAACTTTCGAGAAAAATCACACATAGTATACCATTGACTGCGTAAACCCTAAGTAAGACGAAATCAGCTTGACCTAAATTACTTAAGTTTGATGGATAAGTTGTCATCGACAGTCACCACACTCATCTGACATACCTTTACGCTGGTTTTGCTTTCCACAATCAGGTAGGCCTTCTCCTGCATTACGCGCTCGCGGATTTCGCTGGGTTTTTTACCTTCCTCTTTCATCTTCTTCCACAATCTCTTTTTATTATCTAGGAGTAGTATAATGTTGTAATTCTATGAGCAAACGAGCGACTGACAACGGCAAAGAAACACGTGTAGCGCAGCGTATACATGCATGCTGTGCTGTACCGACGATATGACGTGCATACAGGAGCTCGCATAGAGACACTTGGAAAACTTTGCCATGTACCATCCAACCTTCTTCTTCCGCACGATCTATATATTGTCTGGTAGTGGCATGGTATTGGGTCCCCATGAGCAAACAAGCAACGGATAGCGATAGAGGATAAGGAAACGATGCAACGCTGTAGACCCTTGCATACTGTGCAGGTTACAGTGGAATGGATGGGCACGTGTGCACTCGGAGGAATGTGCAAACCACACCAACAAATTAAGTGAGGGGGTCTACTTACGTCTACACTTGAGCTTCAGTTTCTGGTCCAGGTAGATGACATCTTTGCTAAAAGCAAATTCGCTCTTCACCATATTTTTGAAGAACTCGTCCCTCGATACTTTCAACTGTAACGGTCGAAAGAAAGTGCGGTTAGATTCGCCGCAAGAAGTTTTTACAGACTCGATAAACAGATACTCGTATCGCATTGTGATAGTCACGGAACAATTCATTTGTTTCTGTTCTATAATAAAAAGCCGATGCGAGTGCCTGGTACATGTCAATGACAATATGCGATAATATATTGCGCCAGTTGGTATAGCATTCAAGCGATGATGATAGGACCCCACTGGTTCCATTTTAATTTTCAAAAGATTGCATGACATTCGTAGTGGCCACCACACATGCGAGAAGTACATAGTAATATACTCTTGCGTCCTGAAGGGAACTTGCAGATCAGAATGAATATGAGACGTTAAAGGGTACAGAGAGCCGGGTATGCTATTCACTCATAGCATACTCGTAGCATAAAGCAACGCCTTGCCGTAAGGACCACGTTGGGTCGTCCGTACACGTATTTTCATATCAATCAGTACATGCTGTGCTGAGCATTCCAGTACAGAAATGGTACATACTGCATCACACACAAGGGAAAAGCATGCTTCGACCTTCCACACTCACGTACAAGTCTGAGAGGAGACTACCAGATCCGACGCCATAACATAGAGAATCTGGGTCGCATATAGTACACAGATCACTGACAGATCTACACGTTTAGCTACGACGGAAATAAGCTACCACATACCTTGCTACTATATTCACTGCATAAGCGTGTACGTTCCGCCGTTGTTCCGAGACTCTAAATATAAAATAAAGAAATACATATTGATCGATCAGAATCTATGCCATCGTAATCGACTATACATTTAGCTTGCTCAGAATAAAACAAAAAACAGTCTGGGTTTTTTATATGTTCAGACATACTCATCTTTGTAGCGCTAGTTCAAGTATGGATGTCTACATGATACATGAAGGTATATCCATGAACAACTATGTAGATCGTACATGAAGGCAAATTCATGCATGTAGCATTGGTTCAAATATGAATGTGCGCATCATACATGAGAGTATATTCATTGTCGTATGTATAAGCTAAAAAAACGAAAGACTACAAAATTAGATATGGCATGAGGATAAAAACCAATAGACACATTAGACAGTTAAAAATCCAGCGTGATTGAACATACTTTAGCAGCCTCCGGCTTGTCCAGTACCATCAAAATCTCGACACTTTCCAAACCTTTGCCCTTTTCCATTCTTGCTCGATCCACAGGCCATGCTCTTTCGTAAACGACCTAAGTATTGCAGTGAACAAGTGGGAACTATGAATACCTGTACCGTATGTATTTTACACGTTTATAATGAGCCTTAAACGATTGATAAATTATTGCAACTTTATGGATAGGACAATAAAAAAAATCCGTCGATACTGGTAGATGGTATTTGATAGACTGTGCGTCATAAGTAATAGTTATGTACGCCATGCTTACAATCTAAAGGCGACATTTGATACGAGTCTACTAGATTTTCAAGGAATTCAGTTACAAATGGAAATTAGTGGTCTATATCAGAAGTAGTCGGTGCCAACACAAATTTAGCTTACTTGCGCTGTTTGGAGTGTTACTCGCACGCAATCGCATTCTTACTAATCTGCATAGCCACCTTAGAATCCCGTCGGAAAAATACGTATATTTGCAACAATTGCTCAAGCACCATATGATCGGTCACAGATCTCAGAAGAATGGATGGAAATTTATCGAGAATTTCAAAACAAGGTAAATGCCGTTTAGTGCATTTTCAGCGAGTCAGAAGTTGCCAAGGAATTCATAAGAGTATCAAATACCAAGACTTTCAGCCAACAATCCACAAAGGATATACATATTTGCAGCGCACATGTATATACATACGCATTTATGCGGATGACATCGCAGAGATGTGTATAAAGAATACACCACGTACACATTCTGTTAGTGACTAATAGTTGCTGAGATATAGTTAGGTATACTAGCTTTTGTATTGTATTTGACACACAAAAAAAATGCCAAACTCTATTGTGAAGAAACCACACCTTCTAGTAGACTTAAGATTGATCATCCTTACACGGAGCGGCCTGTGCACGACTGCCTCGGGCCTAGTCTGCATCAAGCTACACATGCGCATTATCATACTTGCAGCCATAAACATTCTACTCTACCACTGCATATATACAAGCCCAGAAACAAACCCCAGACTCACCCAAGCCTATATTCATTTTGCTGGTACTTGCTTGTATCCTCGTTCACAGTGTATCTCACCCGCTTAATCCCTGCTACTGAATAGCACCGCCAACATACTCTCCAGTAAACTAAATCATGTTTATACGTACTACTATATATATATATATATATATACACACACACACATATATATATATATATATATATATATAATAATAATATATACTACACACACACACACACACACATACATACACACACACATATATATATATATATCTATTACACACACACATATATATATATATATATATATATATATGTATATCTATTACACCACACACACAAACTTATACATATATATATATATATAATAATACTATATGCAAGACTATATTACGAATACATGCGTTAAAGTAAAAAAAATCAAAACCAAAACTCACTCGAGTCTGCAAACACAGATACTCATACTATATACAAATACCTCACTGATATATACATGTAAGTTTATACACATACCACATCACGAAGCTCTTTCTTCTTTCGCAGCTTCTGCGGCACGCGCTGTACCACACTCTTGCGGAAGTCGCTTCCCCACGAAGTCCTTTTTTGTTCTCCAGATGGTGGTGCAAGTGAGTTCTTGTTTGACTTACCAGCACCACCACTCGAACTGGACTGGCCAGTTCTAGTGCGAGTTGGTTTTAGCTCCGCCGACTCAGCGATGTCGATTGCACCTTTGGGCGCGGACGATAGACCCTTTTCCTTCCCCATCGCGCTGTGTGGTCTATCTCCTTCGCCTACGTCGAGTGTGGAAGATAGTAGCATACAAGAGCGTCTTCTATCAAGTGCTATGGGCCACACCTGCTAATACCTAGAAACCTTTATTAATAGAAGTTAAAGTGCCAGTAACGCTATACATGCCACTCGCTTTTATTACTTTAGCCTTTTTTTTAATAGCCAGTAGCCACTCGTCGTTAATTTTTTATGTGCTGATTGTCTATTTGGAGGCTATGGCTAATCGTTATAAATAACAATGTACATTTGTCTTTTTTGATTTTTAACTTATTTCTGTAAAGCACATACATATTTACTCTTTTAAATTTATAATGCACCTGGAATGTCATAATTCATTGGTCGAAACTAACAGGGTCTCCGTTTTAATACATAGCTCTTGACGCTCTGAGTCTATGTAGAGACTCTAGAGACTAGCAACTCTAGCAAGTAGAGAGACTTCAAGGAGGTACAGTCCGAACTATATAGTGAATACGTTCTCATGCGGGGGGTTTTTTTTAAGGTTTTTAGGTTTCTATTTTTGTTTTGCTTTTAAAAAGTCAAAGCAAAAAATCAGTATTTATTTTGTTCAATTTAGAGGGCTATTTATATATGTTTATTTGCTGTATGTATTTATATCCTTGAGAACAAAAATAAAATGACAATTTTTGTCCTCAATATGTCCATAGCACTTCCTGCTATATTTTGGCGGGCCCGGGGACAAAATTTCTCATTTCACTTCCATAAAAGCCTGGCCCAATGAAATCTTTCGATACGAGACAAAATCAAGGACAATTTTAAGGACAATATTGAAATCCGTGCAATCCACATAGGATTCGCCAATATTTGTCCAAACGTGGGATGCAGCGTAGTACTTTCCATAGTGACACCTGGTAGAATTAGCACATAAACACGTATAAAAGCAATACAAATTCTACACGCATATTGCCCACACAGCGAAAATTGTACAATGATCGACACTAGTGACAACAGTAGTGGCAGTTTATCAGAAGACTCAAATGTACGTATATATGTATTATATGTACATACGTATATATA